AAACAATTGGTTTTTTCATCGCGAAATAGCGCACGTAGCGTACTCGAAAAAGCGCGTAAATGGTCAGAAACGCGGTACCTGACCATGACCATTTAGTGTCTAAAACTCTTTAAGAAACCTGTTTACTATTCGTCTTTTTGCATTATAGAAATATTTATTCGACCTTAATCTTGACCTCTGTGTTTATATGGAGCCCATTTCTGGTTAGTTTGATAGTAAATGCGCACACGTTACATTTATTAATTTAACAAATTTGGTTGATTGAAAATGATTTTTAGCTATGAACCCAAATTAAGTGAAAATCCCAATTCCCAATCCAAAACTATGTAGTAATGTCATCCAAAAACATGATTTGAGCCATTCCTACTTCCAAGCTTCTACCCACTCTTCAATTCTTGTAACATTACTTTGCATGTCCTCTATGGTATTACTTTGTAGCTCAACTACGATTTCTGCCGGATATGACTCCCTTGCTTCTTCTAATATCACTTGAAATATTTCACTATCAATATTTTCCGTGATTTTTTTTTGTGAATAACCTCTAATTATTTTAATAATAATTTATCATAATCAAATTTTTTTTCATTAAAGGTTTGTGCAATCTGTACCTAAAGAACATACCGGCCTTTTAATCGATCGTACAATATCGTGTTATCAGTTCTTAATACCAGAACCAAATCAAACCAACGTTCGGGAAATACTTCACAAGAATGAAAGTCCACTATATTTCCACCATTTGATAATGTGTCTTCTAATTCATCAACAAGCTAGTAATATCATCGTGTTCTATTTTTATTTTATATAAAATAATAACGTTTTTTTTTTTTTTTTTACTTCAACTTATATTACCTTATCATCATCTAAAATCCAGCTTTGAAATTCATGATCAAAACCTTGATGTAATGATTTTTCTTTAACTAACTCTCCTACATTTATGTGTAATAGACCCGTTGATTCCGATGCTAGCTGGCTTAAAGTTGTCTTACCGGTTCCTGGAGTACCAGTTATAAGAATGTTGGGTTTTTTGCTGCGTAAGAAAAATAATTGTAATTACACAATTAATTATATAACTATACAAATTGACTCGGCAAAAGCTTTATATAATACCGTTCTTGAGTTCCTTGTTCAAGATCTGAAGAATTAGACATTTTAAATTTCGGTAAGATACGCTTCTTCTCTAGCAAAAAATGATAATCATATGATCTAATGATAATCTATAAATTGGACCTAGCGCTAAGCTCCCGCACTAAAATTGTCACAGTAGATTCTTGATTTTGATTAATTTAGGCCAAATCGCAGCCACCAGTAGGGTTGAAAATTACATTTTACAAACTTCAATACATGTAATTTCAAACTGTCCTAGCGTTACCAACCTAAAAAATTTCACTGGCCAATCAGATTTCAAGATCAGGTGTGATGCAGAAGAAACGCAAAAAATAACCAGGGTTGTAAATGTAAACTTACGTTACTGGTAAATTACCGTAAGTTACCACATTACTGCGGAGTTAAGCTTAATTTTGGCTGGCATTAACTTTATATGTATAGACAACTTTTCTATTAAATATTGGCTAATCATATGTATAATCTTTGGTCGATCATATGTATAATCTTGGCCGATCATATGTATAATCTTGGCCAATTAAAATTTTTTATCATGGTAATTTACCATGGTAATTTACTATAAGTTTTAGTAACTTACCGTAAATTACGGTAATTTTACAACCCTGCTTATAACTCAACATTTTATCTATGAAACCACTCCTGCGCACTAACAAAAAGTTTCCTTGCGAAATTTTGGTATTGCAAAAGTTTTTTTCTAACCTAACTTCAGTTTAATTTCACGTAAGTTTCGGTAATATGGATTTCATGTAAATTTCACACGTGATATATAGTACCAGCATTATGAAAAACTCGGCTAGCATTATTGAACTACAGTAGATTCTGCATAAAGTTCACTGATCAGTGCACATGATCCAACAAAATTACGTAAAATTACGGTAATTTTACAACCCTAGCCACCAGCCACCCATTAAGTGAAAAATGTTCCTGGGCTAATTTACCATTTTGTGCGGGCCTAATTCTCCAAAAATTTTCTATTTTCGGAATGAAAAAGTTAAAAAGTTAATTCCGGCCAAAAATTATATAACAATTATGTAATGCGGGCCAAAATTTGGTAGATTGAGTTGTTAACTTATATGTAAGTTATATGTATTTTACCAATTGTGTAACTTACGTACGTAAATTACTTGTAGTTGATCAACATATGTTTGCGTTATATATCAAATTAACTTATATCTCATGAAGTTTATTATTTAAACTTCGATTTATACAAATTTTAAAACTATTTCTTGATATTGAATATTGTAAGCTAAATTAATTTGTATTTGCTTTTAATATTCTTTATTATTAGTATATTACATCAAAAAGAAACTTTTTGGAATAGATATATAAAAATAATTAAAAATAAACAAGAAAGATAAAAAATAAAAAATATAATAAAATATGAGTTAAAAATAAATTACAAATATTATAATATTAGGGCAGTATCATTTATTACCTGATTTTTGTTATCAGAGGCTTACCTTCCTCCCCCTCTCTTACTATATATCTTGATCAGGTCTTTATATATAATTTTAAATTTTTTACCCTTCTTCCCTCTAAAAAATCACCTGATTTTTGTCACATCCTTTATAATATATATTTTTTAAATAATATAAAAGAATTATCAACTATCTGATTCATTACAACTCTTTTCGCTGATCATCAAAACACAAATTTTTATAGAAAAACAAAAACACAAAACCAACAAAGCTTGAAAACAGCACTAAGAAGCAAAGCTTACATGACTAAGTAAAAAAGAAGACACTAAACAATATTTTGTTTTTTAGAAGACTAGTTAAACTCCATCAAGATATAGAAGAAAATTTGAAAATACAGCAGTTTTTCATTGTCTATAAGCAATTGTTTAGAAAAAGCATTTGACTCTGAAGTGCAGATTTGTTGATATAACACATCCATGTAATATATAACAAAAGAACAACAATACAAATACATAAAGCAATATATGATAAGTATAACAAGAAAAACAATAATAATAAAGAAGCTGAGTTACGTGAAGCAAATCAAACAAGAAAATTTTGAAAATAAATGAAAGCTACAAATTTTAACAACTACAAGATGTATACTAGAGAACCCATTAAAGGAAGAAGACAAAGATGATTTAAAAGAATACAAAGAATACAAACAAAAATATAGAAAACAATACAGCAAAGACACAGAAGAAGAATTAGAGTATAAGTATTACAAATTTATCATGAAGAGCAAAATTAATATTATTTTGTCAGATATTACAAAACAAAAATTTTGTGTATTAGATATTATGATATACTATTTACTATTATTTAAGAAATAATATGAGGAAAGACTAGAAAAATAATATATAAAAATCTAAACAAATAGAGAAGAAACAAACAAATCAAGAAAATCAAGAAAATAATACAAGGTTTAGCTAAAAAATTCAAGCCCAAGCCAAAAAAAATGCTAAGAAAACTGGCAAAAAAAAAGAAAGAAAACCAGAAACAGCTAATAAAGACAGAAACAAAAAAAACTATAGAGTATAATATAGAAAATATTAAAATAAAAAAAGTTTTATAAAAAATCAATAAAAAAACATAATATAGAATAATTAAAGCAAAGCAAATATAATTTATAGAAAAATATTAGATACAAAAAATATAACAAAGATACAAGATTAACAAAGAGTCTTAGAAAAGCTACAAAAGAAACAAGAAGACTAAGATCTAATTATAGAAAACAACAACAACTTAGAAAAAATTTTGAATAACTTAGAACTTAGTACAAAGGAAAATGCAGCAAAGCAAAAAAGAAATACAGACCTAAAAATAGAAGAAAAAAGAAACTTAAAGAGAAGAAACAAATATACTACCCAGTACTAAAAAGACAGAAATAGTTATAGAAGAAACAAAAAAAAGCATCAAAACTTTATTGAAAAGAATGAAAAGAAGAAAAAAACAGAACTAATATAAACAAAAAGAATAAAAACAAGCTAATCAAAAGAGAAGAACAACAAACTAGAAAAAGAAGAAAAAAAAGCATATAGAGAAAAGATAGAAATACAAAATACTAGCATACAAGAGATAACAATAATTCTTAATAAAGAAGAAAATTTTCAGAAAAAGAAAAAAAAGCAAAATAGACAAATAGAAAGAAAAAGAAAAAACAGTATCTAACTAATATAAAAGATCAAAATAATAAAACTAAAAAGAAAGAAGATACATCTGAAAAAGAAATATACAAATCAAAAATATAGAAAGTTAAAAAAAGAACAATAGACAAACTAGCCACAAGATCACAAAAGACAAGCTAAACTATCAGAGAGAAGATGAATTCAAGTACTAGTACAAAGAAGAAGACAAATTCAAGCCTAAATACAAGTTTAAAAAAGAAGAAAAAAAAGAAAACTAGATTGAAAAAATTAAAAAAAAAAAAAGAAAAAGAAGACTTTTCAAGAGACTACAAAGAAAAAAAATATAATAAGCTACAGAAAATGAAGAAAAATGAAGAAGAAAATATATATAATTTAGAAAAGATAGTTTTAAAAAAAATATATAATTCTTACTAATAGAGCAGTTAATAAGAATATTTGTAATCAAACTACAAGTTAAAATCTCAGCTGTAGTATATTGAAAAGAATTTAGTAATTACTAACAAGGTTGGCAACTTTTAACCAAGAATCAGAGAGATTAAATTCTCAGAAAGTTGAGAATTCAATATGAGATAAATTGGCTACTTAGACAAGTTATACCTGGGCTTTAATAGTTGAGTAGTTTTTATTAGTACAGAAATATAGTATAGAAATTTATATTTAATAGACAAATCTTGAGTCATATAAACAAATATTTTTTTTTATATATAAATTTTACTATAAGTCTGAATATAAAGTGCTTCTACCTAAAACTTTTTTTTATTAAGTAAATCACTTCTAGGCTTGTAACAAAAATTGTAAAGCTTATTAAGATATATCTAATTGTAGTAAAAATATTAAAATTAGCTTAGTAGTTCTTAAGAAATTTTTAAAAAACTTTCTTTTATATATAAAATTTTTTTAAAAAAAATTAATTTTTTTTAAAAAAATTTTATATATGAAAATGAAGTTTTTTAAAGATTTCTCAAGAACTGCCAAGCTGATTTTAATATTTTTACTACTATTAGATATATCTATTAAACCAAATTGAATGATTTAACTACCAAAATGATCCTCTCAATGAGAAAATTCTAACAAGCCTAAATCATAAAATCTAATTACTAGATGCTAAGATAAAATAGTTTTGTATTTTTTTATTTTTTTTTTTCTACTTTGGCCATCTTGCCGGTATCTTTTATTAAGTACCTAATTGTCAAGTAAAACAAAAGAGGAACTAAGCCTGTCTAATAATTTGGATCCAACATCTGCAGTTACTTCAAGAGCACTTACAAGTGATCGGCCGTACTGAGCAGAAATATCCATATAAATATATCATGATAAGCTTCAAATTTAAAACTCTATCTATCTCAGAAAGCACTGTCAGACCACTGCCCTACAATAGGATATCACCAAACTGATGATATCTTCTTATAGAGAAGTGAAAA